TTTGTAAACATGTATGAATTTCACATTTTGAGGAGTTTTTAGAATCCAAAAACATATGTGATAACATGTGTTTGTACATACTGACACAATTATTAAACAAATAGTGGCTGAAGCTTTTAAAATCTATTGACCGCATCAGGCTTTGTAATCACAAATATGCCATTTTCAGTTTCAATCCAGTTATAAGACATTCTATGACTCATACCAATGGAAAATATATGGGCAAATAAAGATGCTCAATATTATATTATCTATAAACAGGACACAAGTTCATTGTACACAAATACTCTCTACTTTATCTACTTGTCTTCATGTGATGATAGATACAGATGTTAAGCAAAACGAAATGCAGACTTGGTGCCAACAGAGAAACAAGTCTTTGAAAAGATGACCCCCTCAACTTCGATTCTCTTATTACAGCCAGCAAGTGAACATCTTGCAATGCTGAATGACAAAACAAAATACCCTCACTGTGTTTAAATACCGTGGCCGGGTATTCTGAAGAAGCTCTTAGTATTTTATGAGCATATCACAGCCGGTCAGTATAAAACACGGACTGCGGACTGCGGACCACGGACTGCGGACTGGGTATAAAATACGGACTAGGTATGAAATGCGGACTCCGGACTGAGTATAAAACACGGACTCGGTATAAAACGCGGACTACGGACTATGTATATAAAAACAGCTTTAGAAGGTAAAACTGAGAGAAATAGAAAGCGGACTAGCAAAAACAGTAGTCCCAGCTTTAACGCTGTTCACGTAGTCTATTCCGTTCCCACGGAGAAGGAAGGTTATGCCAGTACTCAAGGCAACTGAAATTAACCTCTGAATTTTATAAAAAGAAGGAGTTTGAAGAGATTTCAATTTGCAGTTTTACACCAATAAGAAGCACCGAATTAAAAAAAATAGTATTGGTGTTAGTCAGATCAGTAAAATTCTTATCGGATGCCACAATTCCGTTTCAAATAAAGCCTTGGGAATATGAGGACTGAATGAAGAACTCAGACGAGAAGGTCAATGCGATGCACAAAAGCAGTATTTAGGTTCGAAGGATTACTCACATACGTGGATAATAACCGAAATGAGTCATCCAACGTTATATTCTAAGCGATGATTATGATGACATGATTTACACCCTGCTCCTCATCCCCGGAAGGGGGTACTACTGGGAATTCTTGGTGGGGGTGTAGTGCCCGGTTCTCCGAATCCTGACCTTTTTTGGAGACCAAAAAATTGTCATTTTCCACACCCGTTTTCAGACTAGATCTCTGAAATCCATACCTATTTTCGGACCTGGCCTAATTTAGCCTGTTCCAGGTTCTCAGATAGTTGGGGAGACTCCCCAGTCTTCTCCCGTTTTATTTTCGTATTTTGGCTTTCTCAATTCAGCGGACCCAACTATCTCAGAGCGTTGAACAGGTTAGGTCTAATTAGGCAGAAATTTTGTCATCATTACCAAGTTAGAGCGGAAACAAAAAAATTCTCCAAATGCATTTCGAATTCGCACATTTCTATTACGTTCTTATTCATTTGGAATTGAAACGATAAATACGCCCATTCATGTACGCTCCCGTAGTTCCCTCGAAAACCATACCCGATTCCACACCAAAAGGGGCAAAGTGTTTTCAGACCAAAAAGGCCCAAACCCCCTACCCTTCCATTATAGAAGGGAGTACCACCCCTGATCCCGACCCCTTTCATGATTGTTAGAGACCAAGACAAGGTCTACAAATGGGTGAAGAAAATAGCATTTTGATCCGGCTCATGATTCAGAGAACCGGGCGGGACACCTCCACCAAGAATTTATAGGAGTATTTACAACTTTAACTCACGTGTCTTGCTATTTAGCGATCTTTTGATCTTATTTTTCCTTACTAGAACCAATTTGCACGGTTTTTACCAAAGTAGTCCGTAGTCTGTATTTTATACCCAGTCCGCAGTCCGCAGTCCGCGTTTTATACCTTGTCCGTGTTTTATACCCAGTCCGTATTTTCTAGTCCGCGTTTTATACCTAGTCCGTATTTTATACCCAGTCCGCAGTCCGTAGTCCGCAGTCCGCAGTCCGTGTTTCATACTGACCGATATCACAGCTATGCTTATTAGTACCTCTTAGCACTAGTTGCACTGATTTCACGGTGAATTCAAAATTTTCGGCGAACCGCGGGTCTTACCTCCAGTGCTTTTCATGATTGAAGCATTGAGCAAAGCGTTTCTGTTTCTTTTCTCGGTCAGTTGCAAACAGGATGCAAGTGATTACGAACAAAATACACCAGAATACACTTATCAACGGAATGAGACCGTTTTTTCCTTGAGAATTGGACAGACTTTCTTTTTCAAGAGCTTCCGGAAGAGATTCAAAGCAAAATCGTTTATATCTACAGCGTAATTAACGAATATTCACTCCGCAGTCGAGATGTTCACTCCACGCCATCTTGACACAAATGATCAGATTTTGAATACCGCCCATGATGCTTAGCGATCGTAGTGCGCACACCGCCTGGGAACATTCAAAGGATATCGCTCAGTATGAAATAATGGTTAATAACCTCTTAGGCTCCGAGGAGTTTTGGTAATCATTGATTCATTTATTTGCTGTGCACCGATTTCAATAGTGGTAATTTGTTGTCTTGAGAAGGTGATTTATTTGGAAAGCCGTGTTATTTTGCTTTGATTTCGCGTTATCAGGTTAAAACAAAAGAATTATTTGAGAGTCTTTTTTCATTGTTTATTTGATGATACATCACAGGATAGCCGATACCATAAATCACCGACGTATTTCCGGTCGTCGCTTCTTCGGCTGAATCATTTGTGCGAGGCTTAGTGTGATGAAAATGAAAACAGTTTGCTGTTTTATTGCTTGGTGCTTCAGATACAATCAAGTGCTCAGACCGTTTCCAAGCCAGTTCGAGGAACGTCCTCTTGATAATGACTAGCAAGAAGCGGGTTCAGAAATCGTTCTCAGTCGATGACCTCATGTCGATCGGACAAGAAGCTACAGGAGGTAGCCAACGAGAGCTCTTTGCAAGATCTCCTGGGCAATTCTATTGCCTTTCCAGCAGAGAATGCCCCTGAATCGAATCCTAGAACTCTCCAGGCTCGGAAAACTTCGGGGCCACGGTTTTAGCTAAAACCGTGGCTCCAAAGTTTTCTCTTGCGTAAGAAAATTGCGTAAAAAAACTCACAGCTTCGCCTGTTCCTTTTCCTAAATCCGGCCAAACCTTCATTGTTTGCGACCATCATTATTTTTAGTCATATTATGGCTTAAACACAGGCGTTTAGTATTTGATTGTAAAACTCCCTGAAGAAGTCTACGTTAGTTAGACGGAACGCGTAGGAAAATAAACAAGTTTTACAGCAACAGTTCACAGAGTGCTGCTCACTAGTTTAGTTTTAAAAATTCTTAAATCATAGAAGCTGTGGCCGTATAGATGAACTAAATGCAAAAGTTGAAAGAGCTGATTAAGGTGAGCAACTTGCGCAATTTTCAGCTCTTTGCAAGCAATATTGAAGGAAATAACAGCCATCAAAAACTGCCAAATTGCTGGGTCGCAAAAAAGTTAATGAGCCATACATTCTCTGTAAAATTTCGAGTTTTTAGAAGAGAATTTCACCGAAACCGTTCGGTGCATTGGGGTCACATTTTCAGAGATAACTGAAACTGTTATGCTCTTTCAATATTCAGAGTTTTTATTTTATTAGCGTCATCAGATAGTGATAAGCATATGTTAATGAGGCATAACGTTTAAACAAAGATTCGCCTACATCCAATCTTCACATTCTTGTAAAGGCCCTGCTCAGGGGCACATTACCGTCAACAAGGCCAAATAAGGGAGTGCCCCCCTTCCGGGAAACACCTGCGGAACAACGAATTCTCCGTGCAATAAGTATATAATCTATGGCTCGAAAAAAAAAAAACAAACAAACAAACAAACACTAGCTCGAAAAGCACTAAAACCAAGAATATTTTTCTTTTTAATCAAAGACAAAATATCAAAGTAAAAGAAAACAAGACGAATCAAAATAAGTGAATTTTATAAGTGATACTCCTCGAATACGGTAGACCTCAAATCGGCAATATATTTATTTAGCTGATATTTTATTTTTGGTTTATTTTTTTATGACTTCAGTAGCTGCTCTTTCAGCTATATTCAGGGAGAAAAAGCTAGTAAGTATTCGTATAAAGGCAACGGAATACTTTCATATCATCTTCAGAAGTCGTCTATCTGATGACCCAATCTCCTTTTTCCAGTTACAGATTAAAGATATTTATTGATTCATATATGATATTTTAGGTTTCTATTTGGTTTTTTAATTATCTCTTGCCTAATTTTTGCAATTAAGGGTGATCTGGGGGCAGGGGTGCTGACCCGTCAGGGGGCTGTTCCAGGGTATTCCGAGTTGTCCTGAGGGTGTTTCGGGGTGTTCAGGATGTGTGCGGAGGTGTTCCGGGCCTGTTCCCAGTTTTACAGACACCAAAAAATTTGAGTTGCAAATTTTGAAATGCACACAAGTCGGATTTTTGCGGTAAAAATTCAAGTTGCAAATTTTGAAATGCTAACAACTCGAATTTTTGCGGTAAAATTCGAGTTGCGCATTTTGAAATACACACAACTCGAATTTTAGCGGTAAAAATTCGAGTTGCAAATTTTGAAATGCACACAACTCGGATTTTTGCGGTAAAAATTCAAGTTGCAAATTCTGAAATGCACACAACTCGGATTTTTGCGGTAAAATCCGAGTTGCAAATTCTGAAATGCACACAACTTGGATTTTTGTCGTAAAAATTCGAGTTGCTAATTTTGAAATCGCACAACTGGGATTTCCGCGATGAAAATCGGAGTTGCAAATGTAAACTGTAAAAAAATATATATCGATGTCCTATATGAGCCACGATACTGTTCAGTTGAATTGCGCACTCATAAGACTGCAATGATAGTGAATGTAATGTAACATAAAAGCGCTACGGTAAAGGTGAGTTCCCTTTGTGATACTTTGTGATTCCTTGTGATACTCTGTGATGCCTTGTGATACTTTGTGATGCCTTGTGATACTTTGTGATACTTTGTGATGCCTTGTGATACTTTGTGATACTTTGTGATACTTTGTGATACTTTGTGATACTTTGTGATGCCTTGTGATACTTTGTGATACTTTGTGATGCCTTGTGATACTTTGTGATACTTTGTGATACCTTGTGATACTTTGTGATACTTTGTGATGCCTTGTGATACTTTGCGATACTTTGTGATGCCTTGTGATACTTTGTGATGGCTTGTGATACCTTTTGATACCTTGTGATACTTTGTGATACCTTGTGATACTTTGTGATACTTTGTGATGCCTTGTGATACCTTGTGATACTTTGTGATACCTTGTGATACTTTGTGATACTTTGGAATGCCTTGTGATACTTTGTGATGCCTTGTGATACTTTGTGATACTTTGTGATGGCTTGTGATACCTTGTGATACTTTGTGATACTTTGTGATACTCCGTGATGCTTTGTGATACTCTGTGATGCTTTGTGATACTTTGTGATACTTTGTGATACCTTGTGATGCTTTGTGATACTCTGTGATGCTTTGTGATACTCTGTGATGCTTTGTGATACCTTGTGATACTTTGTGATACCTTGTGATACCTTGTGATACTTTGTGATACTTTGTGATACCTTGTGACACTTTGTGATACCTTGTGATACTTTGTGATACTTTGTGATACTTTGTGATACTTTGTGATACCTTGTGATACTTTGTGATACCTTGTGATACTTTGTGATACTTTGTGATACTCTGTGATACTTTGTGATACTTTGTGATACTTTGTGATGCCTTGTGACGCTGCGTGTTTTAAAGCCTTGTACTGATACTAGAATTCGTGAACTAAATTTGTGTCACCTCACATGATAAGTGAATTGTAGAACAGACCGGCATGATACTGGGGTTACGTTACTAAAAACTCAAGTTAATAAGGTATAGTGATTGTGTGAGCATGTGATGCGATCACAAACTTTGTGTCCTTAATCAGTTGTCCCCAAATCGTGCACTGTATAGTTTAATTACTCTAAAAACGAAACTCCTGGCATAGATAAACACATAAGCTCAAGCCCTTTCAAAGAGCTTCATACCTTAAGACTTCAGGTTTTATCGAAACAAACTTTTACTGCTGTACGATAACAAAAGGAAGGTGACTTTCAAGGGAATATAGAACCCTATGGTAGAGAAAGAAAAATTTTGAAAAGGGTTTAAAACCAATCCAAAAAATTTGTAAACAACTTGTCTTTCTTACCAAATACTTGAAATTGATTGCTCCAATAACATTTAAATCCACAAACGCTTACTGTCATATTTTATATTTTATTGTTTATGTAACTGACACGTACCTTCAAGTCAGCGTTACAATGCAGAAGGTGTCAATATACCAGTTATTCAAAAAAGAAGATTCATCAGCCAAGGTAATGTAACTTTATTGCGCACTAGATAAGTGTATAGTGATAATTTTTGTTCATATGGCCCAAAACCCAACAATGAGTCCATTAAACTACAGCAACCTTTACAGAACTCTATTAAACCATGAAATTCGGAGACATCTCACCATTATCAAATACAGATGAAACATATCATACTGTAAAATAGTGATCAATAATATTTTTGTATTTGATAATAAAGACGTTATCTTTTAAAAAATCTTTCATTATCAAACTTTGCCAAAACAGAGCTATCATCTGGTATCCATTGTGTGGTTCCAAAAATTTTCCATACTTCCCCCACGAAAAGGATTATTTCTTAGACCTCCCCCCCCAACCTCTCTGGAAATTACAGTCAAGCTTCATACATTTACTTAAATTTTCGGACCTTAATGAGAACCCCCAACCTGCCAGCAATTTCCAAACCCTTCTATAAAGGGAGTATGAATATATTCTAGAACTACACATTTGGGGTAGCCTGCTTAAATTCCAAGGGGTTGGGGTTGTTATAAGACAAGACAAGACAAAACAATCCTTTATTTCGAGTCTTATACAGCCCTATGTACATCGACTTTAGCCAAATAATTTAAAATCATAACACAAATTGCACACTAGTGAAACTATAATCAATGTTAACCTAAAGAACTAATGATCTTCTTTTCTCATAGCAGTCGAATACGTACTTTGCAATTAACTTTTGCACTGGTATGTTCTTGCTCCCAGGGTTGTAAAGACTATGCTTTGTGCTAGAGTGCAGATTTGCTGAGTCTTTGTACCTGGGCTTACCCCTGTCTTTCAAAGCTCAATGTCTCCCTCAAATTAAGGGGGGGTTGTGTCTGGCTGGCTGTCATGTTGTTGCACAGACACAGGGCTATCATCTGGTATGCATTTGGGGTGGCCTGGTTAAATTCCAGGGGGGTGGGGTTGTTGTAAAGACTATGCTTTGTGCTAGAGTGCAGATTTGCTGAGTCTTTGTACCTGGGCTTACCCCTGTCTTTCAAAGCTCAATGTCTCCCTCAAATTAAGGGGGGGTTGTGTCTGGCTGGCTGTCATGTTATTGCACAGACACAGGGCTATCATCTGGTATGCACATGGGGTACCCTGGTTAAATTCCAGGGGGGTGGGGTTGTTGTAAAGACTATGCTCTGTGCTAGAGTGCAGATTTGCTGAGTCTTTGTACCTGGGCTTACCCCTGTCTTTCAAAGCTCAATGTCTCCCTCAAATTAAGGGGGGGTTGTGTCTGGCTGGCTGTCATGTTGTTGCACAGACACAGGGCTATCATCTGGTATGCATTTGGGGTAGCCTGGTTAAATTCCAGGGGGGTGGGGTTGTTATAAAGACTATGCTTTGTGCTAGAGTGCGGATTCGCTGAGTTTTTGTACCGGGGCTACCCCTGTCTTTCAAAGCTCAATGTCTCCCTCAAATTAAGGGGGGGTTGTGTCTGGCCGGGTGCTGTTAGACTACACGCCTAAATCAACCACAAATTACTCCAAACTTCTAACTCTTTTAATACGTGTCGGTGGCGTTTTCCGCCATCTTGCGATTACATCATCTTGGCTAGAGCCAGTCCTTTTCGATATTATTCTAACTAGTTCCAGTTCTCTACATTCTCCCCCTCTGGAAAAAGATGTTGTCCTCAACATGAACGGATAGACCATAGTCTCTTGTGGGTTATCTCGTGTAACAGTTCCTCGTATTCTTGTATCTCATTATTGGGTCAACAAAGTTATCCTGGTTGATCAGGCCAGAATGTTCGCTTAAGTTGCCCAAATGTTACTGTGTTATCTTTACTGCACTGTACTGTTCGATAACGCGCCTATATCGATTGTTTGCCCGTACAAAGAACATGTAGAGATCGAGAAAAAAAAATCTCCTAATAAAACAAGGTTGTACCTCTTAAAACGAACGACATGTGAGTTATACTATACTAAACATTTATCCGTCTTATCTAAAACGAACGTAATTTCAATTGGTCCAAATCAGTTCCTTTCTCTTCAAGTTAATGCCACCAGGCTTGCTGGTAACGCCACGCAGGCACAGGATACATCGGCTGAACGTGTACTGGGAAAGGTACAAAATAACTGAAGGGCTGAAAGACAGGTTGTTGCACCATCCATGATACCGGGACAGGCTGCCATAACTGGTGTGGATATGATGCTGTGATGCCGCGAATTCCTGTTGTGGAACTGGGTTGAAAGGAGGGTTGTCCCATTGCATCATAGGTCATCCTGAGGGGTGGTCTGCTTACGCGCTGTGACTGTCTTAGAGGTACACCATCTACAGCTTCATCATCGAACGCACCACTTGGTTGCTCTGTGTCTTCAGCCTCTCCCTCTGAGCCTGGACCATCAACTTGACAAGGGTAAGTGTCGTGTTCATCTAACTCTGGAACAATTTGGCAATTGTCTTCAGTATGATTCCTCGTAGACTCGTAAAATTCTTGAAGTTGACCAGGTGTTAACCCAGGGATGTTCTCATCAGTGGTTCTGGTTGTGTTCTCTTGTAGCTCCTGCTGTCTTCGGGTTGTCCTGGGCATCGTGCGACGACCCTTGGATGGCTTAGATGGTATCTCAACAGGTAGAAAGGAACATGGTAGCAGCAGGTTGCGATGCAGAACTCTTGTCCTTCCATTACCAGTCTCTGGTTTTACCTCGTAAACTGGCATATCCTCCCTCTTTTGAGTAACAACGTGGATTTCTTGCTCCCAATAAGAGCGTAACTTTCCTGGGCCACCACGCTCCGTCATGTTTCGCACAAGAACACGGTCTCCTTCACGTAGCGTGGTATGTCTAACTTTCTTGTCATACTGTTGTTTCCCCATGTCTGCACTGTTCTTTGCATGAGCGGAGGCTAGTTCGTAAGCTTCTTTCATGGCTCTTCGCCAATTTTAACATACTCAGGGTATGTAGAATATCCCTCTGGAGGTTTCAAGCCAAACATTAGGTCGATGGGTAGCCTTGGCGTCCTACCGAATAGTAGATAGAAAGGTGAGAATCCAGTAGAGTCGTGGCGAGTGCAATTGTATGCATGGACTACTTTATTGAGATGGTCACGCCAACGGGATTTCTGTTTCTCTGGCAGGGCTCTCAGCATTGATAGAAGTGTTCGGTTGAACCTTTCAACCTGCCCATTCCCCTGTGGATGGTAGGGGTTGTCCGCGAATGTTTGATCCCACTCAGTTTCTCAAGGTTGTAGAAGAGTTTGTTTTCGAACTCTCCGCCCTGGTCATGATGAATGGTTCCTGGAAACCCAAATCTCATGATAAAGTCATTATACAGTTTGTTGGCAGCGGTCTTCGCAGACTTATCCCGGGTGGCGTATGCTTGGGCAAATCTGGTGTAGTGATCCATGATTACCAATATGTACTGGTATCCACCCGAGCTTGGTTCGAGATGAACATAGTCCATGGAGACGAGTTGGAAAGGTGCTGTGGAGAGGATAGGCTGAAGTGGTGCGTGGACATGAGTTGCGGGTTTACGTTGCTTCAGGCAACGACACACTTTTGTGACATAATGGGTGATGTCTGCTCTCATAAACGGCCAATAGAAGCGTTCTCTAGCTAGTTCCACTACTCTGTCGGCACCCAAGTGCCCCATGTTTTCGTGTAGCTCTTCATACACCCTTTTGTGGTATTTCTTGGGTAAAACCATTTTGTCTCCACACCCAGTTTTCCGATAAAGGATTCCATCTTCAGCAATAAACAGTTTATTCCATTCGTGTAAGAGTTGTCGGGCAATAGCTGTCTCTTGCTGCCTTTCCTGATAGGTGGGACGCCTTCCAATTTGGATAAACTGTAAAACACGAGCAATTGATGGATCTTCTTGCTGAGCTGCGACAAGTTCATCACGTGGCAGAGTTGGAATGTCTACACACTCTTCCTTTAACATGTCGTGTACTGCGGTGAGAGATGACAACCAGGCGGTCTGGGGGGTGTTAGTTACATGGACTGAAGATGTGACAGCATCCAGAACATCCTGATTAACTACTTCCGAACAACTTTTCATATAGCCCTCAAAACTGATTGGCATACGAGACAAGGTGTCAGCATCTGCGTTGGCTTTTCCTGGTCGATACCTGATCTCAAAATGGAAGTCGGCTAATTCATTAACCCACCGTAAACCAGTGGCGTTCAGTTTCGCTGATGTTAGGATGTATGTCAAGGGGTTGTTATCAGTGAAAACAGTAAACTTTGGCGAGTAGTAAAGGTAGTCACGGAAGTGTTCAGTCACTGCCCATTTTAGAGCAAGAAACTCAAGTTTTCCTGCGTGAAGGTGGTACTTTTTCTCAGCTGGTGACAGCGCTCGTGAAGCATAAGCAATAACTCGCATGACCCCATCCTGGTTTTGGTACAACACTGCCCCGAGACCGTCTTTACTTGCGTCGGTGTGGAGAGTAAATGCTTTTGAGAAATCTGGATAAGCCATAATGGGTGGATTACTGAGGTGTCCCACTAACTTCTCGAGGGCTAGTTGCTGTTCTCTTCCCCAAACGATTGGCGTCTTTGAGGGCTGTTGTCCATCCTGTCCTGTGCTGGTAAGCAAGTCATAGATCGGTTTCGCAATTTTAGCAAAGTTTTTAATGTACCTTCGGTAGTAACTTAGTATTCCTGCAAGCTGTCTTACTTCACCAACAGTTTTGGGTGTTACTTCCTTTAACTTCTCGATAGCTTGTACACACCCTGGATCCATCTGGTAACCATCACCTGACACAACTCTTCCTAAAAACTTGACCTCGCGTTTGAACAAACTACACTTGCGCGGCTTCAACTTGACTCCATGTGCTCGTAACTTTCGCAATACTGTTCTCAGATGCTCGATGTGTTCTGCAAATGTCCTACTAAATACTATGATGTCATCGAGGTACGGTATAGCCACTTTGTCCCTTAGTTCACCCAAACAACGTTCCATAAACCGTTGGAAATTCGCAGGTGCGTTCATCAATCCAAATGGGATCCTTACCCATTCATATAGCCCCCACGGTGTAATGAATGCTGTCGCTGCTCTACTGTCCCTGTTTACGAACCCCTGATGATACGCCTTACCCTGGTCAAGTACACTGAACCACTTATTTCCGCCAAGACTATCCAAGGTCTCTTGGACTCTAGGAATGGGATGTCTGTCAGCAATAGTCTTGCGATTTAGTTCTCGATAGTCAATGCATAGCCTTAGAGACCCATCCTTCTTGCGAACACAGACAACTGGAGAGGAGTATGGGGACTTGGATTCAGTGATGAAATTCTGGTTCAGAAGGTCTTCAATGTACTGTTTCACCTCCGGATACAGTGGTCGAGGAATTGACGTGTACTTCTTTTGCACTGGCTGGTTATTATGCAGATTAATCTCCATTTCCAGATCAGGGATGCAGCCAATATCTTCTTCATTGGATGAGAATGACTCGTACTCTTCCCTCAGCATCATTTCAGCTGCAGTCCGCTGGTCATGATCCAAATCACCGAGATCAACTGCCGGAAGTGGGTTTTCATTTTCTTTGTTTTGCTGCTCAGCAGGGGTGGTGGGTCCCTGAGGTTTAGGTTTCTCAAAATATTGCTGGTCATTCTGGGTTCTACATTCACTCAGTCTAACATCTGCTGTTGTCACTGATTTGACTGCCTGAAGGACTCCTAACGGGGTGCGACTCTTAAGCAGAATATCATGGTCTGTCCCATTGTGTACAGCAATCTGTACCTTAGATGACTTTCCTGGTTTGACATTTAACAAAGTTCCATTAACTTCTAAACCCTCTGGTAACTGTGCCAATTCATTTGGCTCAAACAGTACTGGTGTTAGCTTGTTTACTGGTCCTGTAGTTGCACGGCAGCCAACAGTTATCATGCTATCCCTTGGTATCACCACATCTCTCCTTCCCGTCCTCACTTTACAAATGGCATCTGAACTTGAACTCTGAATGAAATTTACCAAGGCATCTACTTTTGTCTTATCTGTTCCAGGGAAACTCTTGTAAATTGTTGGGTTTGGATTCTGGTCCTGACTTACTAACTCTTCAATGACATTGTATCCCAAAATGGGACAGTCCAACTTTTCTGATGTCACTAGAAAAGGCACTAACAGTTCCTCTTGATTGCTATCACTACCAGGAGGAGTTAGCATAACTCTGGCTTCCACCCACCCAATATAGGGTATTTGAGACCCATTCACTGCTGTTAGGCTAAGGCTTGTCTCCAAGAGTTCTGACAACTGTCTAATGGCTACTTGTCCTAAGCATCTTTGGACAGAGTCGACTGATATTATTGAAACCTGGGCACCAGTGTCCCATAACATTTCACATTCATAGTCATTGAGCAAGCACTTCACCATACACTTCTTGCCAACAAGGCCAATAACTTTAGCATGCTCACTTGGAGTTAAATGACTGACACAGGCTGGGTCTACAAACTCTTTTGACTTACTTGTACTCGCCTCAGAAAGATGACTTATTGCTTGGCACAACACCTTGTGTTCAGCCCAGTGTCCCTTTGACATCGCGTGGTGCAATACCATACACTCTGACACTGGCTACATCTTTTAAGTTGTCCATGCTCTACTCCGGTTTTACAACAGTGGCTACATTGGTGAGACTTTGGTGGGTTTACGACTGCTTCCTGTCTCGCGGGAGCAGTCGATTCCTGTTTAACTGCTTCCTGCATCCCCTTGCCAGATGAGATTCGCTCCCACACTTAAAACAGTGATTGCAATATTCCTTTCTGTTCTCGAGGCAGCTTGAACACAAGGGTGGTCTTCTTCTCTCTGGCCACTTGCCTGGAGGTACACTTTGATTGCTGTTCTTCCTGACCTCGCTTTTCAATGCCTCGACTTCTGACTTGATTGCACTTATAGCTGTTAGAAGATCATTCTGAGGGCTGTTCTTCTTGCCTCCTTCCTTTTCTTTAGGTGGGCCATCAGATACCGCAGACACTGATAATGGTGGTTGTTTGGTCTTGGTATTATTCTTAAGCTTCTTGTCCCTTTCCTTTTCTGCTGACGTAGCCATGCTCATCTGTTGCATCAACACTTCATCTGTCACATTTGAGTCCTTCAGGAATGGGCGAATCTTAGCACGAATACTTTCATCCTGTAAACCAGTTTCTACTGACCGAAGAAACAGACGTTGTATGTGTCCGGAGTCATACTGTAGGGATATTTCACCTTCTTCTTCACCACATGCAAACAGGATTTGTTGCCTCAGATCAAGAGCATTCATCAAAAATGCCTGGGGTGACTCCTTTGGGCTCTGACATAGGGATGCCAGTGTTTGATAGAGTTCTGATGTATTCTTTGCACCATAGTGGCTACGGAGAATTTTCTTTAACCGATCCAATGTCAAATCTTCGTAAGTTTCGAGGTAACTCCTAAGTACCATGCCAGGTGTAATTGAGCGAATAACACCATCAACAATTTCACTCTCGCCATAACCTTGGGCCAACCCCATTTGAATTTGACGCATAAGGGAAGAAAAACTAATTTTGTCTTTCTGCTCGAGTTCCCCGATTTGACCACTGATCTTAAACTGTCTACGTAAAGCGCTAGTCGCTAGTAGTTTTTGAACAGGATCTTCCTTCGCTACGGGAGGAGGTTTTGAATCACTTAGAACTGGCTTACCATCTTCTTCATCGTTCTTGATGCCATGGGGTTTCTCTGTCAGCATTTCTTTTACGTCCTTGAGGTACGGCACGACTTCGGCTTCCTTCAGTTTTTCAATTTCATCATCGAGCCGTAGAGCAACACGTTTCGCCACAAACAATTTTGTTTTTCCCTCATATTCAACTTTGAAGAATTTGGCCATTCGCTCGAGTGAGCTCCAGTCCGCGGCATAGATGCTAGACTGTAATTCCAATTGAAGATCTTCTGCCATCATCGGCAAGGCCTCAGTTCCGAT